TATTATACCCCTTTTTTTGTATTTTCTTTTCGCTTTCTATTTCTTCTTCTTTTATTTGCGAGCAAGATAATTTTGCTCGATTATTTTCGAAGGTAGTAGAAAGATCATTTAAACGTTGTTCGCACCGAATAATTACGGACGTACTTTTTTCTATCCGTTCACCATCCGTTACTTTTTTCTTCTTCCTACCGACTCTTTCCTTCTCTCTCTCTCTCTCTCTCTCTCTCTCTCTCTCTCTTTCTCATATATATATATTATATACATTTGAGTGGTACTTTTTTCTTTTTATTTCACTCTTTTAACGATCGACTGCGTCATTAAAAAACTGGCGGCAGTTCGATAGAGTAAGAACAGATCGCGAGATAAAGTCGACTCGATTCGATCTTCCCTCCCTCCCACCCTCCCTCACCCCCTTCTCACCTCACCCTTCTTTCTCCTGTTTTAGTTTATTTTTTTGGTTTCATTCTCCCCACCTTTTTGCACTCTTTCGTCGTTAAAAGAAATCGAACTTGTTCTCTCTCTCTCTCTCTCTCTCTCTCTCTGTTTTTTTTTTCGTTTTAGTTCCAATTCGAGGTCCAATTAAAAAGCGAAAATTGGCAAGGCACCCTCTCCCCTATCCTGTTATTTGATTCCGAATATTATTTGAGAATCCAAAACTCGCACTTCTACGGTTTTTTGTTGCACAAGTATTTAGGGGAGAGGGAGTTAGAGATTTAGGGAGGATGAGGGTGGAAGGAAAAAATAAAATAATAAAATAAAAATCAATTAATTTGAAAGTAATAATAGCGGTGGGTGTATATTTTAAATTGAAATATATTAAAAAATATTAATCAATTTTAAAAATTGGAAATTCAAAATGTGGAATAAGAGATTTAGGGAGGTTGAGGGTGAAATGAAAAAATACAAAAAAAAATAAAATAAAATAAAATAAAAATCAATTGATTTAAAAGTAGTAGTGGGCGGTCTAATTATTAAAATTAAATTAAAATTATTGTTAATTAAGTCCAAATATAACGATGAGTGTTAACGCTTGAACATTTTTACACTTAAATAACAAGAAATATTATTTATTTCATCAATGCATAAAATTGCATTTAAAAATGCATTACCTGTATTACCTGGCAATTATTTTATTACACAATACATTGACTATCTTATTTAAAATAATTTTGAATAATATAGAATCCCCGAAAGCAACCTATTTGTATCTATCTCTTTCTCTCTGATGCATCTCGTTTAACAACAAATCAAAGATGTCAACGTGTTAAGAAAACTAGTAGTTGTAAAGGAAGGGATGATGGGTCATCCTTGGTATCAAGAATGAAGTATCGTTATCTTGAGGGGTTTGCTGGGATTCGTGCCGCCTTCGCGCATTAACATGAGCGTAAAATGATCGATCGATCGAACCGAATGAAGGAAGTAAGGAAGGAAGGAAGGAAGAAATGAACGAACGAACGAACGAACGGATAAGATCGTTTGGTAGCAACGATACAGTAAAATACACACATATACACATAATACTCTTCCTTCGTAAGAGAGCAAACATCGAAAAGGGGAACACCATTTACTACCAACCACTACCATTACGATCAACTACTACTAACACACACCACTACCATCATAGTAGTGGCGAGCTTACCACCAGCATCAGCATCGGGCGTCATTGGGAGAGGTAACGTGCCGTGTAAGTCGGTGGGATCGCGATCTCACGAGAGAGGACGCCGGACTTGTGCCCAGCACGCTTCACCGATGAGGAAGAGAAAGAGAAAGAGAAAGAAAGAGAGAGGGAGATAGCAAATCACGATAGGAAGGAGGAGAACTGGGGAGAGACACTCTGCTCGAAGGAAAGAAGAAGAAGAAGAAGAAGACAAAAAAAATACCAAGAGAGAGAGAAGGAGAGTCTCCTGTTTGCATGAGAAAGACAAGGACGAGTATAGTATAGTCTGGTTCTTCCGTATGAGCGTGCACGCTCGCAAAAGAGAGAGAAAGAGAGAGAAAATGCATACCATTGCGCACGAGACGAAGAACGAGGAAGGTGGTGGTAGTGGTGGTGATGGTGGTGGGGGTGGTGGAAGAGGAAAGATATAGACCGATGCGGGTAGGTGCGAGAAGGACGAAGGAACGGTGACGATGGCTTGGTGTGGGCGCGTGTCTGGCAGCTGCCGCTTACAGGTGGTGTGCTTGCTTGGGAACCAACCTCTACGGACCGTTCCCACGGAAGGCCTGGCCCCCACTACGGTCCCTACTGCCGCCCCTTTACCTCTCTTATGCAGGGGCCCGTGGCTATATAAACCGTCATCCTACCCAACAGCCACCACAATCACGCTGATCGTCCAGAAAGGTCGACATAAGAGAGACGCGTTTTAAAACGAATCCACGGATTTGCTTACTCGACTTGATTCGATTTATATATCTTGCTCTCTATCTATTACTAATTTTCCTATTATCTATCTTTATATTTTTCTATCTCTTGTATCAATAGAGATTCGACGAAACAGTGTGTTGTTTACTTGTTAATCGTTTTTATTCGATAATCAAAAACAAAAACAAACAGAGTGCATATGATACATAATATTATACATAAAATATAAAGTATCATTTTATAAAGTGCTGCTAATTATTGGTGTTGTGAGAACGTTGAAAGAAGAGATAAAGGATTAACCATGGAAATGCACGAGCAAATAATCGATGGACAAGAGCAACCCATTTCTAGGACTTATCAATACCGCAAAGTAAGTGTCCTGAATTCATCATTTTTTCTTTTGACGAAAATAAAATAATCCTATAATCAATTTCTATCTATATTTATTCTATTAATTACGATTAGAAAAAACATCAGCTAATAAATTGTTATTGTTCAAATTACAGATTACAAAACCAATGTTGGAACGAAAACGTAGAGCACGTATCAATCATTGTTTGGACTTGCTGAAGGATCTCATGGTTACTGCTTCAGCTCGTGACGGTGAAAACGTAGCGAAATTGGAAAAAGCCAATATTCTCGAATTAACCGTCCGTCATCTTCACAAACTGCAACGTCAGCAACGTTTATCGGCAAATCCGGTGATCGATGCTGATCGTTTCAGAGCTGGTTACACGCATTGCGCTAACGAAGTTAGTCGTTGCTTGGCAGCAACCCCTGGCGTAGATGTAGCCCTTGGTACTAAATTAATGACACACCTTGGACACAAACTAAATTCAATGGACAAGACTGGACCATTAACCATACACGTGGCAGCACCACAATCTTCCCCATCATCATCCAGCGAACTTAGCTCCGACGAATATTCCATGCCACTTACACCAGCTTCCAGTCAACCATCACCAGTTAGGACGGATGTCGATAAGGAAATCTCACAACAGAGTCATCATAGTTTTGCCGAAGGATTATTGAGAGTTGCTAAATCCAACGAACCAATCTGGAGACCTTGGTAAAATTAATGAAATGTTTATTATAAGAGCCCAGCCCTATTATATTCTCAACGTTGGAAAACATTGAGGAAGACTGTTGACCAATGACACTATGATCTCTCTCTCCGGTGCAAATTCGGTTGTGGTGCAATATCATCTGTGATTTCAAACGGATGATCTTCAAGTAATCGAAACAGAAATATGTAATAATTGAAGAATTTCCTCTTGGAATGGGGGAAACAAGAAAAATCTTCTTCCAATGAAGGAAGAAGAAGAAGAAGAAGAAGAAGAGGAAGTTCAAATATTTTTAAGAAGAATACGAAATAACATATTGTCCTAACGAAGAACCAAGATCTCCAAACGAATTATCGGAGAAATAAGACAAGACTAGACTAAACTAAACGAAACGAAAGAACGACAAACTAATAGTGGAAGTCATATTCTATTTGTTTTCGTTATTTTCTCGCGTAATACGAAACAAATCTACCTGAAGACCTGAGCTTTTTATTTCGCGTTATCGATTAATACATATCAACATTTAATTAAAAAGTATTAAGGTCTCAATATATATAAATATATATATTAAAAAATAATTAATCGTAAAGTCGTAATAAACACAAAACGGTTGAAGTTTTAATTTAGATAATATCGATGGTTACATTTTTTTCTATTATTTGTTTAATACTTTTATCGAAATATACATATCTTGTTTAATTAGTCACGAATTTCTTCACGAGAGAATAATTGAAGATAAAGAGTTTTTTTTTTTTTTTTTTATTTAAAAAATTGATATTAAATAAGATATCATCGTTGCCTTATAGTTTTATTGATTTTGAATAATCAAAAAAAAAAAAAAGAAAAAAAATGTTGGGATAAAACATAATTAAGAATACAACTCGTGATGAAAACGTTTATTGTACATATATATGCGTTTCCTCCTCCGTCGAAATGAAAGAGATCATCTTTTAATCTTTTAATTAGATTTTTTTGTTTATCTTTGTTAAAACACATTCGTGACTGGTATTTCTTTTTCATACGAAACAATTTGTTTAAATATCTCATATAAAAATATGAAATATAATAGCATCATATTATCAGATTTCAAAAAAAATGTAACAAGTTTAACAAGAAATTATAATTAAAAAAAAAAAAAAAGAATAATTAACAATAAAAAAAAAAACAAAACGAACAAATAACAAATAAACAATTAATTTATGTAATATTTAATAACGTAAGATAAGAAATGCCGGTATTATCGAATGTGTTAAAATGATATCATTCGCGAAATGTGCATGTTAAATTTTAAGTAAAAGTAAAAGAAACAAAAAACAAAAAAAAAAGAAAGATGTCGCCATAAGACGTTTGAGAGGAGGATATTGTGATAGAGAAACGTGTACCTGTGATATTTACTCTAGTAGAATTAATAAAATGATACTAAAGTTTTATTAAAACATGTTTCAATGACTATTCAACATTTATAAATGATATAAATACTACATTTCATAAACCTTTATCCTTTTTTCCTTATCACGTGATCGTTTGTAATAATATGGCGTCCGTTTCGTAACCATAGCTCATTAGAATTACTTTTCTTCTTTTTTTTTCCTCAATTCTTATTTCTTCTTTTTACAAGAAGAAAAATAAGGTTGAAAAATGAAAATTCAAATTAACGAAAAGAAAATAAATATGCTCGATCGGATTGATATATATATATATATATATATATATATATATATATGTATATATATTTTTTTTTAAATGTATAAAAAATACGTGCGTAATGTGCATGCAATTATCAGAAAGAACAAGGATAATAAAAATGCGTAATCGAGAAAGAGTGACATTGATTATAATGTTGATTACTTACTCTACGACACTTCTTCTATCATGGAATCCGGGTGATTCATTCCTTATCGTTTCCCCCGCTTCTGAAATGATATAGAACACCACTTAGTATGCGTGTATGAAATAGAAACTCTGTTGGCGCCGGAGTGCAAGAGCGGCGTAACGCACGTAAACACATAACCTTGAAATGAAATATGCTGCTGCATAAATCTTTCAAGATCGATATTGACGTTAGATAATAAATAAAGGAAAGAAAAGAAAAGTGAAAAAAAAAAAAAGAGAAAAATCAAAGGGTAGGATATCTAACCTCGAAACACTTTCACACGTGGGAAAATAAAGAAGATGAAAAACATGAAAGGATGAACCTCTTTTCGTTGATCCGATCGAAAGTTTATGATTGATGACACACGATCGTTCAAAGTAAGCACCTTTAACTAACTGAACGAAACATCTAAACGATCGATCTAATAAAATCCTATCCGTTATTTATTAGCGTACGATGATAACTACTCCTTCTATCAAATAAATACATAAGACACACGATATCTATGTTTAGAACACACTCTCTCACTCTCTCTCGCATTACAATAGGCCATTGGCGATTTGCCAAGAAGACGAAACATCAATTTCAACCATCCAATTTGAAACCTGCTTCTAGGTATTGTTAGGGGGAGAACTGGGCCAATGAAAAACGTTTATTCGTTTGGTATGCGCGATATAAAATACGCGGGATGTGACCCAACTTATTTTTTATTGCGATAAGTTGCAACGTTTGAATAATCAAGAAAAATAAAAGACAAAAATGAAAAAGATAAAGATTAAAATGAATATGACAATGACGATGATGATGATGATGATGATGCTGCTGCTACTGAAGAAAAAGAAGTAAGAGGAGAAGAAATATGAGAAGGATTCAAATAACACATCAGCAGCAGCAACACAAGTAGCTGCAGTTTAACAATGTATTAGTGCATCGGTAGGCTGATTTAACCCACGATGCGGCGCTAACCTCGTTAAAATTCGCGAACACTCGTTAACGCCGAACGTAGAACCTTAGAGAGGCGATAAGTTATTGATTCGTTGTTAACCGGTCGAACAAGTCAAAGATCCGACCAATGAGACGTCTGCGAGACGTGACTTCAAACGCGCCACGCGCCTTCTCTTTCTTTCTTTCTTATTTCTCGTTTTCTATCTTTTTTCTATCTTACTCTTACCTTTCTTTCACTCTCCCCACTCTTACTCGCAATCTTTCTCTTTCTCTCACGTTCTATCCCTTTTTTTTTCTTCTTCTTTCTCTCTTTCTCTAATACACGCGCGCGCCAAGTAACTCAAGCGAATAGAGACGATTTAGGTTAGCATCATCGGCACTAAAACAACTCCACGTCTTATGTACTTTCTTAGACACGATCGCGACACAAATAACGTCCCTGACGAAAACCGATCGGATCTGGTTGTCTATTCGCAAATAATAGATCATCGTGCGTCGACCTCTCCTACATTCTTTTTCGTTGAATGCGCGGCAAACAACACGAGCGCCCTTCAAGGTTAAATCGTCGATCGAAAAGCGATCTTCAGTCACATACACGCATCAACGTGTACGCACAGTGAGACACACGGCCTATCATAAACTTTAGATATAAATACTACGTACTTGCTAACATAAATAATCCAATAATCTTACCAGCTTCGATAACACTCTCTTTATCCTTCCCAAACGATTCACAAACCTACACGTTGCCCGTTAAAAAGCGGGAAACTATTGGATCACGATTTACTCTTATAACACGTGCTAGTACTACAGGTGCACGGTTGCGCTTCGCAGCCATCTTGCGGTAGATCATGAAAACGCTACTTGGTCGTGTCGGTAAAGTAGATTTACCGATGATAATTTTAATCAAGTTAGGAATACATTTTTTGTAAATAAATAAAATATTATTACAGAATACATATACCATAATATATTTTCAACTATAATTGAATATTATTTGTCATGAGTGTTCGATATTCAATCGATCTCAATTTGTTATTTATTTTATATCTATATTAATAATAATAATATTTACTGGATCTGTGAAATAAAAAAACTTTTTTAGAATTTTACAAATATCAAACGAGTTAGAGAATATTTTTTTTCAGATAAACCATATATTGATCGTATTTGTTTGGTTTCCATCGAGTTTCCATATCAACCGATCAAACATGCAAGATTGCAATACGTTGCACTGTGCATGGATCACAGTTACATAAACACAGTTTTTTTTTATACGTATATATATATATATATTTGCATATAACACACAATTACAATATTAAAAAAAAAAGATTATTATATTTCAAATTATATATATATAAATAGATAGATATTATTTATTATAAAAAATGGTTCGAAGACAAGTAATTCAAGCGAATATGTATTCAACATATCACTTGAAGCCTGGACAAACGTTAGAAAATACTAAAGTAAGCTGCTTCTTTCTTAAATAAACTTGACGAGGAGAGTCTGTTACGTATTAAATAACTTAACAACATTGTACACAGATATCCGAGAGGAAACTGGCATTGATAGCCTCTGAAAGCGCTTTTCAACGCTTCGTTGATTACGTTAATCAGCCACAAAGATTGGCCGAAGAAAGGGAAGTAGCAAAAGCGAAATTGAATGCTATTAGGAAGGCAACTTATGAAATGTCTAAGACATGGGACAATACTGTTGAGGTATTATATATTTTATGAAGTTTTTTATTTTTTTTTTTTTTTTTAGTTAGAATAAATAAAACAGTATTTCTCAACTTTTAATTCCTGGTTCTGATAAGGTGTGAATAATATTGTAATTATAGTTTTTTGTTTACAGAATATCAAAAGAAGAAGAAAAGAGGAACTGTTGAATAAACGGAAGATAGAAGAAGAGAAAAGAAAAGAATTTGTTAAAGAAATGACAGCAAAAAATGCTGCTGAACGTGCAGAAATAGTACGACAAGCACGAACTTTACTTCTTTATAAACAACCACAATGCAGACGGATCAATAGAGCAATGCTCGTATCGGAGGTATATTATAGAAGAGTTTTGCAAAAAAAAAAAAAAAATGAGACTCAACATTTCAGGTTGCTTTATAATTTTAGTCTGTAATTTAATAAAAAAAAAAAAAAAAAAACAAGCAAAAGAAATAAGTCAATATTTTGTTAATTATTTTTAGTGTCTAAGAGAATTAAATGCTCAAGTTGAATTTCAAAAAACTATTAAACAAATGGATGATCAACAAGAAAATGAATACGTTGAATTGATTAAAAAAGATGTCGAAAAATATGAGCAAGAAGAAAAGAAAAAAATCGAAGAACGTAAGATGAAAATTGAAATGTATGCTATGAAATTAAAGAATCAGTAAGTTTGTTTTTTTTCTCTTTTTTTGAATTTATTAACACTTTAATGGCCGCTCACACAACATGTGTGTGTGTGTGTGTGTGATAGCCGGAACAACCGTTATTCGCCGTTATTTATTTATAACTTTTTATATTTATAATTACATAAAATTAAATGTTGTTTTATGTTAATTTTGTCGTGAATTTTATCAAATCTGTTTTTTTTTAAATGAATTCTTCAAAAATATTATCGACGATGTTTGACTGCGTAGACGTGCGGCCATTAAAGTGTTAATTCAAAAATTACATCGTAATGTATATTATTTGTTCTTTTATGTGTGTTTTCAAGGATTGATGAAAATGCAAAAATACGAGAGATTGAAAAAAATGAAGAATTCAAGATAGAAATACAAGATCGATTAAATATTAATAGAGATTTACAAATTATGAAAGAATCACAGGCTAAAGAAGTAAGCTCATTGTTAAACAAAAATATCAATATTCATATTAATAAAATAAAATTACTATAAATAATAAGACAAATTCTTTATAGGAATTGAAAAGGAAGAAAGAATTGCAAAAAGATTTTTTAAAATCGATCGATGAGAAGAAACGTGCCGAACTCGAATCAAAACGTAAAGAAAAATTCGAAGATTTGGCTATCGATATATACAACAGATCTAAATCTCGAATAAAAAAGATGTTGAAAGAAAGGGCACAAAAGGAAAAACAATCTAGAGAACAGAGAGCAAATTTTATTGGTAAAAAAACAATAAAATAATTATACGAAACTTACATGAAACAAACAACATGTTAATTGTAATTTTTCCATGATTGGAATTGCAGGTGAAAAATTTGCTACTCTCATGGATTCCACTGGTAAAATTGAGAAAGAAAAAGTAAATTTTGCTAAAGCTGTTGACGAGATAGAAAAAAATGCTATTGAAAGATACAAAACTAGAAAAGATTACGAGATTGCTATGAGAGCTGTTAGAATCGAAGATAAACGTAATGACGATGCTGTTAAGATAAAATTACAAAAAGATGAAAAAGATATGCAAACTTGGGAAACATTGCAAAGATTTAAAAGAGACGAATATAATAAACAAGTGGAATTAAATGATCGAATTGAGGAACGAAATAGAAAAATCAATTATGCTCGTGATTTGAAAAAACATATGGTATAAGAAATATTTCTAATTCAATATATTAAGAATTGGTTGTATTTTTTTTTTTTTGTTTGTTTTTAAATAGGAATTACAAAAAGAGGAACGTGAATATCAAAATCGTATTGATGACGATTTTAATGAGATGAAAGGTGCTATTAAACAAGACAACGAAAGAGTTTTGTCTTACAGTCAACAAGCTTTAGAAGAATCTAAAGGAGTTAGACCACTTTATCCTATTTTAAAAGCTATCCAGGTATTAATTTGTTATTAATTATTATTTTTAAATGCATGTGCTAGAATCTGATGTGTGAAATTTAAAAAAAAAAAAA